CTGCACACGAGGTGTAGGGAGTAAAGTGAGTACTCCAACTCAGTGAGTAACAAATGTAAATAACGATTGAAAGTAAGAAACTTGTAGGGCATAAGGCATTCTATAATGAAGCAGTAAAATCATATAAAAGCAGTAAACCAGTGAAAAATCAAGTAAAATCCTCTTTCAACAAGTAAACAAGCAATTGACAGGTAATTAATGTAAAGTAAACAAATAGAAGTTCGCCCCTCGGGCACAGTATCAACAAATCCTCCCCTCGGGCAACAACTCAGAATAATACCAGTCCCTCGGGCTCAATCTCACATCACAATGGGTACCCTCACTCACTAGGGGTGTGCAGACTCCTGGAGGGGGCCCTTACGGCCCAAGCGCAATAACAAGCCATCTTGTGGCATCAAAACAAGGCCATCAACCTCATATCAATCAAACCACCTCGTGGCATATATATATCTCAGGCCCTCGGCCTCAAATCAGTATCAGTGTTTCCTCACAACATAGGCCCTCGGCCTTACTCGGTCAAACTCACAAGCCCCTCGGGCAATAGTAAAACAGTGTTTCTCATCCCAAACATCATTTAAAATATCATTTAAGTCTTAAAACTGAGTAAACATTGTTGAGTATGAAAACAGTGGAAAATAACATGACTGAGTTAAAGTATAAAGTCAAAACAGTGAGAAAATAACAATGAAAATTCCCGAAGGGTTCAAATAGTTGGCACTAGGCCCAAATATGCATTCAGCCCAAATAATGATGATAGCAAATAATTTTCAATCAAATACGCAGTAAAATTATCAATCGGGACAGACCAAGTCACAATCCCCAATAGTGCACGACCTCACGCTCGTCATCAAGCTTGTGCCTCACCTCAATATAGCACTACGATATGCAATCCGGGATTTTAAACCCTCAGAACATCATTTACAATCATTACTCACCTCGAACCGGCTAAATCTCTAGCTCGCGACGTCTTTGCCCCTCGAATCGGCCTCCACGCGTGTTGAATCTATCCAAAATCATAACGAGGACGTCAAAATATGCTAAGGGAATGAAGCTCAAGCGAAAACAATCAATAAAAGGCACAAATCCCGAAATTATCAAAACCCGACCCTCGGGCCCACGTCTCAAAATTCAAAAATTTTTATACCAATAGATTTCTTATCTTCCCACGAGTTCATAAATACCAAGAACATCAAAATCCATCCACAAATGACCCTTCAAATCCCAAATGTTTGGTCTCCAATTTCAAGCCCTAGTTCTTCAATTTTAGGCTTAGATTCCATGATTTTCTAGGTTGAATTCACATAATAATCGAGTTTTTAGTCCAAGAATCTTACCTCCAAGTGATTCTCCTTAATCCCTTCTTCATTCTCCTTTAAAAATCTCCAAAAACGACCAGCTATGGAGGAAATTAGCCCCAAAATCGCGGACAAGACGAGTTAAAAACATTTTGCCAAGGCCTTAATTTCCTTCTTCGCGAACGTGGTCAAAGCCTCGTGTTCGCGAAGCACAAAAATAATGTTGACCATAATCCTCTTCCGCAAACGCTATACAACCCACGCGAACGCGATGCTTTTCCCAAATGAACCGTCGCGAACGCGATCCTTCCATCGCAAACGCGATGAGTTAATTTCCACTAAAGCTTGACCTTTCAATTCCTTCTATGCGAACGAGGCTACACGCCCGCGAACGCGATGCACAACCTCGCAGCCCTTCGCGAACATGTCACATGCCTCGCAAATGTGAAGGCTAAACTTCCACCTCCCTCAGCATACTCTTCGCGAACGTGAGGGTCCTCTCGCGAACGTGAAGACCAAAATGTCTGCAACCGCTGGAACTCAAAATCTGCAATTTTTCAAACTTCAAAATGATCCGGTTGACCACCCGAAACTCACCCGAGGCTCCCCGGACCTCAACCAAAGGCACCAACATATCATAAAACCTTATTCAAACTTGTTCCAAACATCAAAACACCTCGAACAACATCAAATCACCCAAAATATATCGGATTCAAGCCTAAGTTTCTAAAATCTTCCAAATTACGCTTTTGATCAAAACCCAACCAACCCACGTCCGAATGACGTGAAATTTTGCACACACATCCCAAATGACACAAAAGAACTACTGCAACTCTCGGAATTCCATTCTGACTCCTATATCAAAATCTCGCCTATCGACCGAAAATCGTCAAAATATCAACTTCACCAATTCAAGCTTAAATCTACTCCGAACCTCCAAAACTCATTCCGATCACACTCCTAAGTCACAAATCACCTCCCGAAACTAACCGAACCATTGGAATTCACTTCCGAGCCCTCTAACTCATAAGTCAACATCCGGTTGACTTTTCCAACTTAAGATCTCTCAAAAGAGACTAAGTGTCTCAAACCTTACCAAATTCCTTCTGAATTCGATCCGACCAACCCGATATCACATAACACAGATAAACAAAGCATAAAGAAGCAGAAATGGGAAAAACGGAGCGGTAACTCATGAGACGACTGACTGGGTCGTCACAAAAATAGATAGAAAAAACTATAGAGAGGTCTAGTTCTAGAGTCAAATATGAACTAGCGGCTTTTGTATATTCATACACATGACCTGCGATCGATCCCCCCTTAATGCCTTCTGGGTTGAGCCTGTCGCACAGGGCTTGCCTAGTGCGTTTTATATCCCCTGTGTGGTTTGCGGGCTATTACACAATGGGGAGTTTACCCAGTGCGCACAGAGTGCTCACCATAGAGTGCTCAGTCGAACGGCAGAGGCTGTAGCGGCTGCGAGTTTCCTGGGTTCCAAAAAAAAAAGGTAACTTCTGCTCTCGTCTTATGCCTGGGTCTTGCCAATTTTATTATATTCTTCTAGATTAATTTTACAGTGTCTTCATTTTTCCACTAATAAACTGATTAAATTAGAGTATTCTTAAAGAAAAGTATATTATTCTTTTATTTGACAAAAACTCACACAATCGTTAATTAATGTACTTTATTTTCTTGTTCGTCGACCATCACGCCAACACAAGAGAAACAGTAGAAAGAAATTGAAGAAAGAAAAGTTGTAAAAACCTGAAATTCGTTTCAAAGTGTTAAATGATAGCATGTCCTAATCTTGACTTAATAGCAAATGTCACAACTCACATGTATCGATTAACTAAACTGAATGTCGTTTAATCATTTGTCTAAATTAAGCATAACTAATAAGCCATCGGTGTTTACTGTTTGTTGATCATGAATTCTTGCCAAATATTTATTTATCTTTTATTGATTAAATCAGAAAGTTATTTTTTTGAAATGATTTAATTTTGACTCATAGAGGCTAATTTGAGCTACATAGTGGATGGATATTTGCTGCAACTCTATCTGATTTTCAACAGAAGGAAAACAAAACTGTGCGGCCAGGGGCGCCCACGTATTTTCTCCTAGAATGGAAGGTGATAGAAGAAGATTTTATGTGAAGCTGTTTGGCTATTGGACGAAATTGCTTCTTCTTTTTTCAGAGTTAAGATGTTTGACTAAATTTTTATAAAAAATAATGATTTTTAAATAGAATCAGAAGGAATTTTTCATTAAAAAAAAATAGTTTCTTCCAAAAGAACTATTTTGAAAAGCACAGAAAAATACACTTAGACATTTTTTAAAAGCTTAGTCAAATACTAATTACTGATCAAAAGTATTTTTTAAATTAATTAGCCAAACGCAAACTACTTCTCTCCAAAAATACTTTTTGAAATACTTTTCAAAATAAGCCGATTGGCCAAATAGGCTATATATGTCATATTAGTCATGGAGACAAAATCAAGGTGAAACAACAAAATGATATTGCAATTTGAAAAAGATGGACAAAAAGAAAGGGATGGGGAAACTTATGTTGTATTTGTTAAGATAACTTTTCTTATGTTGATCATACAGTTGTTGTTATTTCAAAAAAAATCGTGTTACAAGTTGCCAGATGAGTTTATTTTCTCCTGTAACATTTAACTAGTGAGGCCAGGACACCCTTGTTCTGTGACGATTTTCACATACTTGGTTCCAATGTCCAGGCTTCATATTAAGCCGGAGCAGTATTGTCTGACTCAAAATTTGAATCTAGGTTTAAACAATCAATTTTTTTAATAAAATAGAGTTAATCTTAGCCAATATTAATATCCAAAAGACTGGTTAACCGATTTCGTAGTAAGATGGCACGGATACTATTTGAGTAGCAATCAATAACAACAATAATGCAATATTCAATGACCCAAGAACAAAGAGTGTAGCATTAAATGGCAGTCAATAATGATGAATAGCGTTTTGGTAAATAAATGCATGTGAGTCACCCGAAAAGGATAAGATTCTTTGATATTCCTTCTGACAAAGATAGATGGTGATAACCCTTTGAATATTCGGATCATCCTCGCATCGTGGAAGAAAAGATAGATAAAGATCGGAAGAAAATGTATATTTTGTATGTCAATGATAAAGTAAGAATCTTCAAAAAATGTCCATATATTATTTTTTTACAATGAGTGTTCAATCCCCTCTATAACTACATTTATAGGGGCACATGGGCAATAAAAACACTAATAGTACAGATGGCAGGAATATTCATCTGTAAGGTCTTGTTTCTAAACTATGTAAGGTTTTGTTTCTAAACTAGGTGTAACTGCTCCTGTTAAAGGGAGTACTTGTCCTCGTCTTCGTCCTCCGCCGGGTACTCGACCTCACCTTCATCTTCTGTTGAAACCAGTTTGATGACAAGTGGCAGCCTTCGAAAGCTTCCTTAATGCCGATTAGGGTCACATATAATTATGATAATTTTTAGCCCATACAAGTATAACATGTGTACTTGATGTATAACTTCAGCAGTATATTGCATGAGAACTCAAATATATCGGCTACAATTCGTTAGAAATGGCAGCCTAACACTAAAATAATTGGTAGAAAACCAGCTTAATGGCGGTTAGTCTTGCTTTTCTAATACACACAGAGGACCTACAAAGGCAAATAACGCTTTCAGGACTACAAAGAGGATTTAAAGTAAATATTATACAAACTTATGTTCATTAGCTTTAGAATTTGAGAGTGAGGACTGTCCAGTTTAGTCAAAAATCAAATGGAAGCTGAAGTGGCAATTAGGTAAAAGCTAAATGTTTATGAATGCATAATGTATACAAATATTTAATCCCATTAATCACAAGCTGTCTTATTTCCGAGAGTGTTACCATCTCGATTAGGTTGGAACTCCTTGAAAAGGAGCTCTAAATAATTAGTAATTACTTGCTCAGGCTTCATGAATAGGAACTAATGGCATTTTGCCTCCATAAATCTCCGGTAGCTGGCTTTCATCAATGTCTTGAAGTAGAGTTGTCATGAGTCGTTTGTCTTCCACAAATGTGATCTGAGAGTAAGGATAGAAATTAATTTGGTGAATATAATCCAACACAAGGTTTAACCAGTAACTTAATGAGGCAATCCTTGACTACAACTGCACAGTGGCGAAGTCAGGAAATTAAATAAGGGTGTTCAAATATACCCTTTGCTAGTGGGTTATGCAAGGGTATTCAAAGTCTATTTTTTTAATCAATGACAAGTAATATTTTATGTACATAATGTAATTATTCGACGAAGGTTGTTCAATTGACCACCCTTGACCACACATAGTTTCGCCCCTACAACTGCAGCTTGACTAAACTCTAACATTGTTTCATCAACAATTGTAGAGACTCACCTTCTTTTTGGTCTTGTTATCAATAAAAGGATACACAATTTTCCACATGGCCCAGAATAGGTAAGGAACATGAACTACAAATAGTTTTCCAAGTCTTTCAGGGTAGCAATCCTGCAAATAAAGAGTAGTAAACTTCAAGATTATGGACTACAAGGAGAAAAATGAAAAGGATTTCACTTACATATACGGGTAGTGAAGCGCTTTTACACTATCACTATATTTAGCATGTTTTAACTTTTAATAGGTAAACTATCTTGTTTTTCAGATTACTGATTCTTTAGGTGATCTGATAGTATAAAAAAGACCTTATATTGTTTTTAAATAGAAGTTAAACTCAATGATTATAATGATTGATTAGACCTGTAAAATGGATAGAGCCCCAATGTATGCACGAGCATCGCTGTTCGCATAGCCAAAACTTTGGAGATCTCCAATTACCACAAACTTTTCCCTACCTGGTGAAGTCCTGATTCATAAAGAAAAATCCCAAGATAAAATAATAAAAATATCAAACTTGCATGATCTCGACAGACTTGGAAGCTTCTTTGAAAAGGCGAATTAAATTTGCCAAGTGAGAATATTATATTAATTAGATAGTGTACCTTGAACACAGTTTGTCTAAAGCCAAGACCACAAATCCTGCAAATCAGAACAAAGTCTTGACTTTAAATTAAGCAACAGGCGAAATGGAACGGAATAAAGAGAAAGAAAACAAAATTCATACGTTTGAACTCGTCAGGACCTCCTAGTTTATTTTGAAAATGTCTGCCACCTAAAACGACAGCAATAGGGTGTCCTTGTTTGTCGACTCCTTGCATGAACATTTTGTTGTGTGCTATCTGGTTTGGAATCTCACTCGGTGAAATCGAGCCATTTGGTGCAATGTTTTTCCTCCATTTTAGGCATTTCAACAACATTGCCGAAGCTTTGTCTACGTCCATATCCCTAGCTCGAAGAAACCTTCTTATCTCAAAATCATCTACTTCCTGAAAACAATTGTCGTAAAAAAAAGTGATAAAAAAATGGACTCAAAGCCTAACTCATCAAAAAACTAGCTCGTGAGGTGAGCATCTGTTAAAGTATAAAAGGGTAGTTTAGTCATTTCCTATTTAGTTGTTAAGTTAGTTAGCTTATTTAAACTAACTCCTTTGTAAACAGAAGTTTAGTTTTTCATTTTTCTAATACAATATAGAATGCTCCGCCTACTTTCTCTCTCTACTCAAACTCTCTGCTTCATCCTCTTCATCTCCATATCAATTACATCTTCGTCTTAGCTGAATTATAACATGGTATCAGAGCAGTACAAGCTACAAAACTGAAGCTTGTAAATCGATCAAAACTTAGTTGCAATTCTAGTGAAAAATCTGGTCACTGAGGGTCAAGAATCCACGGCTATCACTGATGAACAATCGAGGGCAAATCCTGCAAATCTGGGCACAGGAGAGCAGAGTACTCAAAATTCTGGAAACTGAATTGCAGGATTGGACTACAATCATCCACTGTTCTTGTTACCAACTGATGTAAGTGGTATTCAAATAATTTCATTTCAATTGACAGGGATTGAAAACTATTCAATCTGGAATAGATCTATAAGAGTAGCATTACTAGGAAGAAACAAATTAGGCATGGTTGATGGGACATGCAAGAAAGAAAACTTTCCAATAACCATGGGAAATCACTGGGAGAGAGTCAATGCAATTGTTCTGTCTTGGATAATGAATTCTGTGGCTAAGGGGCTGTTAGGAGGAATTATGTATGCCTCTAGTGCTCAAGCTGTTTGGGAAAATTTATTAGAAAGGTTTAATAAAATTGATGGGTCAAGAACCTTCAACCTACACAAAGAAATTGCAACTTTAACTCAAGGGACTACCTCAATCTCTGTATACTTTTCAAGACTGAAAGATTTGTGGGAAGAGTTTGAGGCATTAGTGCCTGCTCCTGGGTGTGATTGTGAAAAATCAAGAAATTTTGTGTTATATTTACAAAAATTGAAATTGTATCAGTTTTTTATGGGGATAAATGAGTCATACTCACAGACTAGAAGTCAGATTTTAATGCGAAGTCCATACCTACAGTGAATCAAGCATATGCAATGATAGTTAGTGATGAAAGCCAAAAATCAGTTGCAGCTGTGTCTGGTGTGTTAGGAACTAATCCTAATGCAATTCTTGGTAGTTATGATATGGCTATATACTCAATAAATGGTAATAATCAGCCTCAAAGATTCAAGAAAAATTACAACATACAATATGACTTTTGTAAGCTTAAAGGACACAGCAAAGAAAACTGCTACAAAATTGTAGAGTATCCTGCAGATTTCAAGTTCAAGAAGAAAAATTCTGGGGTTCACTATCCTAATCATAGTGCAATTGCAGTCAATGTACTCAGATAACTCTCAGATGGATCAGAATAATCCTATGACATTCAACTATGGGATGAACACAAATGTGGTAGAACAGAATGCAAGTAAAGCCAAGTGCATATGGTCTATCATGTGAGAGTGCTGTTGGAAATCAATTAGGAAACTACACTTTCACCAAGGATCAATATGATCAAATTGTCCAGATGCTAAACAAGATTTCAATACCTTCATCAGACAACTCTGCAGCAAATTTGACAGGTACTCCTAAAGCTCTACTAGTCTCTGATGAAACTTATGATTGGATTATAGACACTGGAGCTACAAATCACATGGTGTCTGATATTAACATGTTAGATAAATCCTCAATAAAGATTGAAAAACCAAAAACAGTCTTCTTACCAAATGGTGATATAACACAAGTCACACACATAGGTGCAAGTTCCTTATCAGATGAGAATACAATTTCTAATGTATTTCATATGCCACAATTCAAATTTAATCTATTATCTGTGTCTAAGGCTACTAAGGACCTAAAATGTTCAGCAACCTTTTTCCCTGATTTTTGCTTCTTCCAGGATCTCTTCACTGGGAAGATGAGGGAGATTGGTAAGGAAGAAGATGGGCTCTACATCTTACTAAGACAAATAATGGAGAAGAATAAAAGGATTGCATTAGCAGCCTCAGAAGTTGGAAATCTAAACAAGCAGCTAGATGTGGATCTGTGGCATAAAAGACTTGGTCACATGTCTATTTAAGGATTACAGAAAATCTTACATGTTAGCTTACCATTCATTAGAGAAAAGATAAGCAAATGCACTGTATGTCCTTGTGCTAAACAAACTAAGCTGCCTTTTCATTCTAGTAGCATTAAAAGTACCTATTGTTTTTACATGATACATACAGACTTGTGGGGACCTTACAAAGTGAATACATTTGATGGTAATAGATATTTTCTTACAATAGTTAATGATTACTCAAGAATGACTTGGATATTTCTACTTAAACAGAAATCCGATGTGTTTCTATCTTTACAACATTTCCTTATGTTAAAAATCAATTTGATAAGTCAGTAAAAATTATAAGAACTGATAATGACACAGAATTTATGAACTCAATGTGTGATAATCTGTTCAAGAACTTAGGGATTATTCATCACAGGACTTGTGTTTATACCCCTCAGCAAAATGGAGTAGCTGAGAGGAAACATAGACATATACTTGAAGTAACCAGGGCCCTTAGATTTCAAGCTCAAATTCCAATCAAATACTGGGGTCACTGTGTGTTAGCAGCAGTATATTTGATAAATAGGATGCCTAGTTCAGTCATAAGTAACATGACACCTTATGAAAAATTATACCAGAAGAAACCTCCTCTAGAACATCTTAGGGTGTTAGGTTGCTTATGCTTTGCAAAGGTTGTGCAGGAACATGATAAACTTATGCCAAGAGCTAATAAGGCTGTTCATATGGGATACTCAGAGGTCCAAAAAGGATATATTTTATTTGATATTGCTAATCAGTCTTTCTTTGTTAGCAGAGATGTGACATTTAGGGAAGACATATTCCCTTTCAGTTATAGAAACAAAACTGCAGCACAGTCCTTATTTGTAGATCCTACTCTGCATAAAGGGATAATACTAGATGTTATACCTGAGACTAGTCTTACAAACAACCTTTCAAACACTATGGTTCAACAACAAAATCAAGACTTTGAAGTAGCAGAAGCAGATACAAATATACCTTCACCAATCACAGATGTTCAGGTATACTTTCAACACTTAGAACAAACTATGACAGATCAACAAATACCTCAACAGACTCAACCTCAACAAATGATTGTCAGAAAATCAACAAGAGACAAAAATCCACCTATATGGATGAAAGACTTTGTATCACTAATATTCACAGAGATGAACCTTATGCAATAAACAAATATTCCCTCCGTTTCAATTTATGTGAACCTATTTCCTTTTTAGTCCGTGCCAAAAAGAATGATCCCTTTCCTTATTTGGAAACAAATTACCTTTACACAATGTTTTATAGCCACACAATATTTTATGTGCCTCATTTTACACCACAAGATCCAAAGTCTTTTCTCTTTTCTTAAATTCCGTGCCCAGTCAAATGGGTTCACATAAATTGAAACGGAGGGAGTATCTAGGATATGATCAACTATCACCCAAATATCAATCCTATATGAGTGTGTTTTCTTCTGTTATTGAGCCTGCAAACTATTTTGAGGCAGTAAAAGATCCTAGATGGGTGGAAGCAATGAATGAAGAAATAAAGGTACTTGAGAACAATAATACATGGGAAATTGTCACACTACCAGAAGGTAAGAAACCTATAGGGTGCAAATGGATCTTCAAGATCAAATACAAAGCTACAGGTGAGATTGAAAGATTCAAGCTAGATTATTAGCAAAGGGGTACAGTCAAAAGGAGGGGATTGATTACCAAGAAACATTTTCACCTGTAGTGAAAATGGTAACTGTTAGGACAATTTTGGCTTTAGCAGCAGCAAAACAATGGCATATACACCAAATGGATGTGTATAATACCTTTCTTCAAAGAGATCTTCGTGATGAAATCTACATGGATTTGCCACAAGGATTTTCAAGTCAGGGGGAGAATAAAGTAGTATGTAGACTAATCAAATCCTTGTATGGGCTTAAACAAGCACCAAGGCAATGGAATGCAAAGTTATCAGAATCTTTGTTAAATTTTCAGTTCAGATAAAGTCAATTTGATCACTCTCTATTTATAAAAAGGACAAGTGAGGGAAGTGTAATGGTACTAGTCTATGTTGATGATATGTTAATCATAGGAGACAATTTGAAACTAATTGAAGAAACTAAACAATCCCTGCATAAAGCTTTCAAGATGAAAGATTTGGAAGAGTTAAAGTATTTCTTAGGTATTGAATTTGCAAGGTCAAAGCATGGAATTATCGTGCATCAAAGAAAATATGCACTAGAACTCATATCTGAAGCTGGATTGTCAGCAGCTAAGCCTGTTGTAACTCCTATAGACACCAACATGAAGCTCACATCAAAAACATATGATGATCGTATTGGAAAAGGTATCAAATCTGAAGAAGATCCTGTCACTGATCAGCAAGCTTACCAAAGATCATTGGGAAACTGTTATATCTAACAGTAACAAGACCTGACATATCATTTGGTGTATAAACACTAAGTCAATTCCTTCAACAACCTAAGAAGTCTCACATGGATGCAGCATTGAGGATTGTAAGATATATAAAAAATCAGTCAGGTCAAGGAATACTTTTATCCAGCAAATCCAGCAACATTATTACTGCATATTGTGATGCAGATTGGGCTTCTTGCCCTCTTACCAGAAGATCTGTAACAGGATTCCTTATTAAAATTGGAGATTCTCTAGTTTCATGGAAATCTAAGAAACAAACTACAGTCTCTAAGAGTTCTGCAGAAGCTGAATACAGAAGCCTAGCAACAAGTGTAGCAGAGTTGACTTGGCTCAGTGGACTACTGAAAGAAGTGGATGCAGACATTAAACTACCAGTTGAAATATATTGTGACAGCAAAACAACTATTCAAATAGCTGCTAATCCTGTATATCATGAAAGGACCAAACACATAGAAATAGATTGTCACTTTATAAGAGAAAGAGTTCAACAAGGTTTGGTAATCACCAAGTATATTGCAACAAAGGACCAGCCTGCTGATCTCCTTACAAAAGGGCTTAGTAAAGTTCAACATGAATATCTAAACTCCAAGCTAGGTGTTTTAAACATCTTCACACCACCTAGCTTGAGGGGGAGTGTTAAAATATAAAAAGGTAGTTTAGTCATTTCCTATTTAGTTGTTAAGTTAGTTAGCTTATTTAAACTAACTCCTTTGTAAACAGAAGATTAGTTTTCACTTTCTAATACAATATAGAATGCTCCACCTACTTTCTCTCTCTACTCAAACTCTCTGCTTCATCTTCTTCATCCTCTTCATCTCCATATCAATTACATCTTCGTCTTAGCTGAATTATAACAGCATCTCTCAAAACCACATAACGAGGCAACAGTCAATTCCCTTAATCAATGCACGACATTTAACACCTCCCTCATGGCTAGAGCGGGATATTTGGGGCATGGACGTATAACAATCATTGAACAAATCAAGAACATAGATGACTCTAATTCAAATACATGATTTAGAATAATGAAGATTAGGCCAAATTCAACTGTAAAAGCTAGTTCCTGAGGTGTATATTTTCCTACAACATCTCATTTCCTTTTAACTAACTAGAAGTTGTACAATTATAGTATCTTTGGCCAAGCTTTTTCAAATCTAAAAGCATCTTTTTTTAAGTTGAAATGTTTGGCCAAACTTTTGGAAAATAAAAATGCTTTTGAGGAAAAGCAGAAGCAGTTTTGGAAGAGAAAAAAATAGTTTCTTCCCAAAAATACTTTTTTGAAAAACACTTTTGACAAAAATATATTTAGAAACACTTTTTAAAAGCTTGGCCAAATATTAATTGTTGCTCAGAAGTGCATTTTAAATTAATTACTCAAACACAAACTATTTCTCAGCAAAAATACTTTTTAAAAAAAGTACTTTTAAGATAAACCACTTCTCAAAATAAGCTGATTTTAGAATCTTTCCAAACAAGCTATTAAAAACCTCTCTCTTGCTCTTGATCATTTTAACATAGAAAAATCTTAATGTTCTACACGTCAACGGAAGGAAGGAAAGTAATAAAGAGTTACTCCCTGCATTTAACTTCCCTTAATATTATTTTCTTATTAGCCCGTTTTAAGATAAAATGATATATTTTTATACTTCCTTAATAACAAGCTTTTGCAACCTTCAAATGTTATATCATATTTATGAGCACAAGTTTCAAAAATATGAGTATAACAACACAAAAATTATGATATATTTGAGATCTTTTTTCTTTTAAACTTTGTATCAAGTTAAACGATGCCAAACAAATTGAAACGGGAGTACAATATCCCTCCGTTTCCGTTTATGTGAGCCTATTTTTTTTGGTCCGTTCCAAAAGACCTCTTTCTAAATTTGGAAACAATTTATTACCAATTCTATCCATAGCGAGAAGTTTTTATAACCACACATATAATGTGGATACTTTTTTGAGTTGTTTAGAACCACAAATTTAAAAGTTTAACTTTTTCTTAAACTCCGTCAAATATGTTCAACTAAGTTATAAATTGTAAGAGAGGGAGTACAATTTACCTTGGAAGAAGGATCTTGCTTTTCGACAAGAGCTCTCATGAGGCGAATCTTGTTCTTCTCTTCTTCACTGATTTTGTCATCACATTTTACTTGTGTTACTAATTCTCCTTCTTGCTGCAATTTTGTTTCAAAATGAAGTCCATTATCGTTTAGCTCCTTGGCTAATGCCTCAACCTTTCCCTCCATCAATTTCTTTCTTGCACCAATTACTAGCAGGAGAAATACACAAGGCACAGAAGAAGGTCCCAATTTTCAAGATAACATAATGTTCTGCTTCAATTTATGGCTAACTTGGAGGAGGAAATTGAAAAGAGGAATATAGGGAAGCTACAAAAATTAAGACTGTCTTAATGAGTAAATCAAATGGGACCGTCGTGGATGTAGTTGACTAATGAATTATAGGGACCAAATACTATTAAAATCGTAGATATGAGCCAGTGTAAATGATAAGATCTCTCTATCCTGTATTAGAGAATGCAAAAAATTCTGATTGAGAGCACGAATCCGAATTAATCGATTCTGAATAATCTCAACAAGATTGACGCACTAAGTAACAATATCAAGAGACAAATTTTCAATGAAAAAGTATAAAATAAAAGAAAAATAATAAAATCGGCGAAAACCCACAAAGTAGGGTCTGGCAAGTAGAGTACACACCTTACCAATAAGTTTTGATAAAGCCATCTAAAAGGAGGAGCAGTAGCACTCACAGATAAATAAGACAATTAGAGTGCAAATAGATAGTTTCAAGTACCTTGGATCGGTTATTCAGACGGAAAAGGAGTGCAAGTAGGACGAAGACGGAATACCTCGAGTGCAAATTTGGAGTTGAGCCGACTGAAGCGGGAGTTGAAGTGAGGCTTGACTCTCAAGTCATTCCCAAGAAAGATAGTTTCAAGTACCTTGGATCGGTTATTCAGGGGATCGGGGAGATTGACGAGGATGTCACACACCGTATAGGGGTGGGGTGGATGAAGTGAAGGTTAGCGTCGGGAGTTTTGTGTGACAAGAAAGTGCCACAGTTACTAAAAGGTAAGTTTTATAGAACATTAGTTAGGCCTGCCATGTTGTATGGAACTGAATGTTGGCCGGTAAAGAACTTACACACCCAGAANGTGCAAATAGATAGTAGCAGAAGTGGGTAAGAAACTATAGACCAAGATAAGTTGAAATAATAATATCGAAAAATGTTGCATTACTTTAATATAATAATGGCTTGTTGTAATACTTAATATTTCGAAGAAGATAACTTGTAAGCCGCGATAAGTTGTTGATTTAGATACTTTTCAATATTGGGAATAAGAACAGTAAAAGTTAAATATATAAACAATAATGTGGGCTCGTATTAGTTGTTAGGATATAAGTGAGGTAAAAAAAAAAAGCTTCCCTACCCATGTAAGGAAACAATTCATTATTAAATAATTCCATTTTCTAATTTTCTAATTATTACGATGATCCTCACATCTTTAAGGAAAAAAGGGCCCCTCAAAAGTTGGAGCTTCAAGCAATTGCTTTACTGGCTTTATAGTCGAGCCACTCATGACCATACGATGGTAAAAAAAAAAGGTATTATCACTTTTAGCCCACGCCAGAAACTATTTATATTTGGTATAATATAAATAGTATAAAATTTGTATAATTTTTGTATATACCATACAAAATATATATATATACAAAAAAATATTTTTTTATTATTATTATTTTGAGAACGGCTATATAGTGTCATTTTCCTTAAAATGATGCTAGATAAAGGTAGAACTAGAATTTAAGTGCACCTTTTAATATATATTTTTAATTTTTTTTGGGTGTACGTGTTTGTTTTCGTGTTCATCCAACATAACTTGAAATTGAGGGTATTTGATATTTGCTTGGAAGAAAGATGTTGCTTTTCAACACGAGGTCTCATCCACATGTTAAAATGTTAGATCAGATCTGCCTCTAATATTAATGCAGGCAATTGGAATCCATATATTCTGGAAAGCTATACTGTACATTTATACGAGTTGGCTGGGAAGTGAGAGTTCACCTACTTACCTAACTCATAGTATAGCTTTAACTAAGAGTCTAAGGCCACTTCATTGAACCCCTTTTTGCATTCAATGTTCATGTTCTATGAGTGTAATTATGAATTTGTTGCATTTGGATGTATATATTCAAAGGAGTAACCATGATAATTTTGATCTGTTTTCTATAGATCTAACGTAGATCACAACCAAGTCGCACCCTCCCTAAATGGAGGAAAAACACTAGAAATTTAGGGGAGTTTTTGAAAAGCTAATTATTAAAGAAGTCTTCGAGAAAAATTTGAGAAAAGTTGTGTGTCTGAATTATTTCTGTTTTCTTGTTTCAAAATTATTGCTTATTTTCAGGTAGAGACCTAAATCTCGGGAAATCAAAATTTGCTTTTTCCAACTAAACAATATTGATTTTTAGTTTCGAAAAAAAGGTTTTGAATTTTTATCATTCTAAAATGAATAGTTAATTCGTATAACTCTGAAGTTGAGAAATACACATCTACCATGGTCCTGGTTAACGGATGTGAAATATTTTCCTATAACAAATTATATTTAGCCTTTGATTAGCACTGGAATTATATTAAAACATCAAATTGCTGAAACGAAAAGAACTAACATCAAATATAAACAAAACTCAGTCTCCGTTCTCAACTCTTCCTACACTCGTTACAAGTATTAATTGGAACCCAATATTTACACCACACCAATAAATACATGACATGTATTTCCTAATACATGGCATCCAAGGAGATGGCAGAAAGAACACAACGTATGGAGATTTTCTGGCCAATATGGGAAATTAGCTGAAGACAGATTCTCTTGGCACGAATGGGAGCACGTAGGCGCACGTTGAGGCAAGTTAACCAATTTGGTAAAAGAGAGAGAATGACGTTGGAGAATACAAGAAGGGAAAGTTCTTTGCTTATGGAGAATTTGGCCAGTTTTTGTCATGTTAGAGGCACCAGGCTTTAACTTTCTATTTCAAGTTCCAAATTACCAGAAAAAGAAGCAAATTTAGAAAAGAAAGACAAAAAAGAACAAACAAAGGACACAAGTTAGAACGAAAAACAAAAGGAGAACACATCATGTGCACTTAATGGCAATTTGATTACTGTTGGCCAGTAGAGGAAAGCAATTAATGCAATCACAATGTTGATGCAATCAAAAGATCTGGCAAGTGTAAAAAAAAAAAAAAAAAACTACGGGTAACCGTCTATAAAGAATGAGATTAGTAATCTAATTACTTGCTAGAAAAGGTTAAATTACACTTACAACTTAAAACTAAATCCTTTTTCTTGGTGGCAGGGTTTCGGGATCACAAGTAAGTTCTAGCATATGTAGATTATGGTATACATAGCATAATCATCAACAGATAAATGCAGCATGGACTTTTTTGATAAGGTATCAAGTCAAGTGAGTTTTACGAAAGCCAGAAGAGGTAACATCGACCCTCCTCATAACTAGACCATCTCACAAGCAAAAGCTCAGCTCCAGATCAAAGTAGTGCAACAACAATTCAATGCTCAAGTTTGATCAAAGAAGGCATTTGATGCAAAAAACAAGTCGAAGCAGTAAATTAGCTCCCAACTTTCAAGCAGATGTTCGCCTTAGAAGAAGATTATTGAAACACCCATTGTCAAGCAGCCCACAGCCACCCAAGGACTCAACCGCTCACCTGCCACATCAAAGCACACTATATTTAGTAACATCTTGTCAAATCAAAGCATTCTGGCTGTATGAAAGGACAAAAGATTTACTTGCTATGGTACAATGACGAAATAATATCCCTGTTTTCTGTTGTTTGCTCTCTACACCAACAACCCTTATTTTTTGCCCCCGATTTTTCAATACACGCGTGTTTGGATAGATAGCAAGGTATTTGCAATATCATATACTCTTTAATCTCAAAAAATCCTTTCGCTCTACTTGCATATACTGTCAAAGTTTAGGTAAGGGCTAGAAGTTCAAGATAACTTCTATTTTATTGAAAATGTAATGGACATTTTATAAAAGAATATCATCCAGAGAGTGCTTGTGTCTGCCTTCTGAGTTTTGAAAAAAAGGTGGCCACTCAGAAGATGTTATGAAAAAGCTTCCGGAAAGAAGTAGGAGCGAAAGGAAACAGGAACCTCCATGAAGACAATTAAGGCGCACAAATGACATGTGGTCAGGTGGATGAAGCTTCTAAAAGTTTTGATAAAAGATGAGGCTGATAAAACATTATCAATTAGCCAAGTGACAGAGAACACCCTAAAATATAAATTCCCTGTCAAAATGATGCATATACGAGAAATCATTCTTCGCCATGTTGTGCAATAGTAGCCATTCATTGGATGTCTAATCTTTAAGTTTCAAATGTAGGTTCTCTCAGCAGTGTTTAAGTCCACAGCCCATATTCGCTTCCATTTATAATGGGACTACGTGCAAGCAATTTAGTTGAAGAGAGATACATGCAGTGTTTAGGCGTGGATATTTGAACCCAAACCCATTTAACCTGCCCCGAGTGTAACGGGTTGGGCAAGAAACATTTCAGCTCATGGGTTTATTTGGGTTGTGCCCAAGTTAGGCCATCACTTTTTCGCAGCCCATTCTGACCCGCGAAGAGGCCAAATTTCAACCCGTGTAGCTCCCCTAAATAAAGAGGCCCCAAAACAGCTGAAGATTGCTTGCGTGGAAATTTATTCAGCTGCCCAATCATTAGAAGTACTTTTTTATACAAGTACCAAAAAGGCAAAAACATGAGACGTTTGTGTTACTTTCCGTTCCATAAAGTTCTCTTCGAATTAATCTAGCAAAAATGATTCCTCTGTATTTTTATCTTTAAAACAAGGCATGGAAGAGAATATTAACATTTTAATGCACTTTCTCGTAATAAACATTATCTTTATTTTCAAACTTGTATTCAATTTGTTACTGCTCGTAGAAATAAAGTTTGACCAAGTTTTGAAAATTAAAAATAAAGAAGAAGAAAATGTGTTAATTACACGAACAATCCATCTAAATTGAAAAGCTTGAAAAATATCTATCAGGTTTATATATATATCACAACTCATCGCCAGTGCATTAAATGAAAGAATTATTATAAGGAAGTTGCAAAATTAGAGAATATAGGTGTATAAGGTAAATAGGTTTCTTTATACTAGATGGAGTGTGGTTTTAACTGTAGAAATATAGGTCAAGTTGGACAGACCTTATAAAAAAAAGGGGTCAAGTTGGACGGGCTGGGCTATGACCCATTGTTTAGCCCATCTTAGCCCGAGTAAACTTTGGGCTAGGTTGGGCAATGATCATTTATTGATTTGGCCCATGTTGGCCTGCCCAAATTCAGTCCAACCCCTTGATTGGCCACCATAGCAGTGTTATTAATCACCAAACCAAGAAAACTTCAATTACGTAAGAAAAGTTAGTAATCAAGGCAGCATAATAGAAAAAAAAAAAAAACAGATAGTAAATTAGAGCTCTACCAACAATACCAGCATGATAGGAAATAACTTTACCTATTCTAGCAGCCTTCCAAAAGAAGCCTCGGAACCTGCCATATGTAGTATCTGATTAGGAAGCGAAAAGGAGAATACAAGATAAAACGTTCATCACTTCCAAACTGTCAAATGAGGCTATAAGAGAAAAGCTTATTGATTGGTCCACCATTCACGATCAAGGTTGTAG